ATACAATAAATCCCCCCAAGAACGAGACAAAGCTACGTGTTGAGGGTAAAGCAGTGAACAGTCAGAGCTGTGGGTTTATTGTGCCTATGTATGCATTCTTACACATTAGTACCACTCACAGGGTTTTGGAACACAACCAATAAACACATACAATACACTCAGACACTCCCACACAAAATCCTCCCCTCTGCCTGTGATACAATTACCTTACACAATGGGTAATGTAATTATAACAAGCAGAGAAATACAATTTTTCCACATTATTCATAATTTGAAAAGTATGCATCACATTCACATTTTCAGAATCAGCATACTCCAAATACAAACATATGTCAAAATCATCCAAATTGGTCCAGTGGTTCAAAAGATAGATCGTAGTCCTTTGTGACCAAAGGAAGCATGGCTTTTCTGCCCAAAACCAGTTCCACAGAGTCTTCTATCCTGGAGATAATTGGGAAGTAATCCAATTATCTCCAAAGACAGAGGCAAAACTCCACTGAACATATGGCAGCAAAAGACAATAAAACACATAAAAACATATAACTGTGCAGCCATTGCACAAAACAGGTACATTCAACATATCCCCAGATAGCTCAGATCTGACCACACATTATTACTGAATGGCGCTTAGAGCACACACATACAGTTCAATTGCCATGGAGCCAAAGTCTTTCCCATAGTCTTTCATTATACAAATGGGCTCCATGGCACAGCTATCTGGGGTATCACCGCTCAAACAGGGCAAGCACCAAATGACCCGGCTTTCATGTCTTTGCAGGGTAAAATCAAGCCTTTTAACATGGGGCTATAATCCAAAGGCAACAGGCGAGCAACCAGGCTTCTCCAATACAATGTGGCGAGATTGGTCTCATCACAATAACCACAACACCATAACTACTGACTGACAGTATAACCACGACACCATAATCACTGACAATACCATAACCATTTACAATACCATAATCACTGACATACCATAATCACTGACAATACCATAGCCACGTACCTACCATAAACACTTACAATACCATAACTACTTACAATACCATAATCACTGACTATTGATACGGGGTTGTAGAAATATTAGGTGGTCGGGTGGTTTAGATGTTGATTAACTATGATTGTATAGATAATAGTATAGATTGTATAGCTTTTGGTGGGTTTTGACTTTGTTCTGTATGTGTGAGACGTCATTAATGTTGTGAAACGTGTGAGGATCCTGTGCATGTGTGTATATGTGTGTTCTGGCCTGGTAACTGCGCCACGTGGTGTTATTGATAAGGAGATTTGTGTGTCAATTGTAACTGTATTTGTATATTTGTATTGCTTTGAATCAGACTCTCCGTTGAAATCATGGGTGCATCTGATTCACAAATTGTTGGTCTTTTGTCTTGTATGTTAAAAAACAAAACTTTACTGATTTGAGATTATGGTGTAACACTGTCCCCCAAAAGATTAAAGTACTTTGTGTAGCAGAGAATGGCCTGTTTTGGTAACCAGTGACCCTCCTGTGGTAGCCTTGGTCCAGATTTAATACAGCAGGTTCACATTGTTATAACTGGTATGCTGGGGCTTTATGATTAGTTTCTGTATATTGATTGTTGGAAGCAAATTGTTGGGAAAACGGCCTAATTGGATCAAGTTATGCCACAAGGAACAATACAGCCTCGTGGTTGCCTTAACTCCACCCAGTTTGGACACACCCTCTGAATCTGATCTCCCTTTACCAACCCCCTACTCTTCTTCCCAAGCTAAAACTGGTGTAGCTGGTGTTTCCACTCCCCCTGCCCCATTGCCTCCACCTACCCACTCACCCACCTTAGATACCAGATCATCTATCCTGGACACACCTATTCCTGTGCCTACCCCCACTGATTCTTTGTATCCTGAACTGACTCCCTTTTTGGTAGAAGTGTATTTTAGCATATTTTATTATTGTTCAATTTTATTAACAGACAGAATTGTGAGGAGAATTCTTAATAACAGTAACTGAGTCCATTAGACCAGATAATTCTCAGCAATAACATTGTACCATAATCACTGACATAGCACTATAACTATGCGCCTTCAGTAACAGTACCGGAGTCTAAAATACAATTGGAAGATATGATCAATGGTATAAAACGCTGGATTACACTTTTACCTTTTTAGTTACTGGTCAGGCTCCTCCCAGCCCTGTCCGAAATATTTTATCAACGAAATTACTGACCGACATGATTAACTTACCTTCTGACAACTCCCCAATCGGAACCTGTTAAAACACATCACTCTATAAATGTTCACAGTTCCATTTTAACAAGTATAACGACTGGTACCCTCCAACCCCGGCATTTACAGATGCCTCTACGACTTACTCCTGGCCCACACACATTGATGGCAATGGCCAGTTGCAATTGGCAGACCCTGTATTTGTATACGTTCCCTTTACTACAACCGACTTATTTAACTGGAAAACCCATAGCCCCTCATACACGGAAAAACCACAAGCTATGACTGATTTGGTCACATTGATCATACAAACTCACAACCCTACTTGGGCTGACTGTCAACAGTTATTATTAACTTTATTCAGTTCCAAGGAAAGGCCCCGTATTAACCAAGTGGCCATTAAAGCTCTTGAGGAGACTGCCCTATCTAAAACCAAGCAAATCCAGCAGCTTGGGCTGCTGCCCATTTCCATAATATGGATCCTGATTGGTGATATGGTTCATTTAAAAGCTTACCAACAAGCCATTATTACAGGCATGAAAGCAGGTGGGAAAAAAAGGCTATAAACATGTCAAGAACAGCTGAAGTATTACAAAAAAATGATGAATCTCCTAGTGCCTTTTTATGAGAGACTGCTTGAACCATACAGACTTTATACGTTTTTTATCCCAAAGACCCTGAATTCTTGTATGATTAATTCAGAATTCGTCAGCCAGGCCCAGAGTGACATTAAAAGGAAATTGCAAAAGTTAGAGGGATTTGCAGGGATGTCCATAACACAACCAATGGAACTCGCAAACAGGGCTTATATGAATAGGAAAGCGTGAGGAGGAACGCAGAATGAAAAAGAAAGTGTATATGCTAGCTGACGTGGCAGGTGAGCTTATATATTCAAATGGCCATTGGAATAAAACTAAAGAGCCTACATTTTGTTTAAATGTACATAGGGATTTGGGCCAGAGCGCAGGTAACGTTCTCTTAGTTTTTACTATGTATTTTAAGCTGTTGGATACTAAGCTACTGCTGCTGTAAGCGCGGTGCTTTATCTTTGTGTTTGTATATGCTAGCTATAGCAACTACAGGAGTGGTTAGACAATGAGAAGAGATAGAAAGGGAAGGTGAGATTAGGAATGACAGACCACATTTAGGTGGAAATCAATGTGCGTATTGCAGAGAGGAAGGACATTGGAAAAGTGACTGCCCACAGAGGGGATATAAAGCAAGTTTTAGACAAGAGGAGAAAAGGGGACAAGGTAGTTATAGAGGTGGCTATAGAGGAAGAGGAAGTCATGGAGGACTATTGATACAGACCGGGCTCCATCCACCTTGGCCGAGCAGAGTGTATGGTCGAAGTAACAATAGGGGAAAAGAAAAGTCCCTTCATGATTGATACAGGTGCTGAACACTCTGTTGTGACCAAATTAGTAGCCCCTCCCTCTGGAAAGACTGTCACTGTAATAGGAGCTATTGGGAAAGAAGCAACCAGACTTGTTCACAGGAATCGTACTTGCACACTAGGGGGCCATCTTGTTCAGCATCAGTTCCTATATATGCCTGAGTGTCCAACTCAACTCCTAGGATGAGATCTATTGTCAAAGCTTCAAGCACAAATAACATTTCAATCCAATGGATCAAAGCCCCTGCAGTTCAATAAATCACCGGGCATGTTAGCCGTACTGTTGCCAAAAGAAGAAGAATGGTGTTCCTGGCAAGTTACCCCAGATCCTGAGAATCCTTGTAAGATCCGGTTGAAGCGAACAAACCAGTCCCTCAAGTTTGATTAAAGTGACATAAGGAAGTATGAGACGATTTTCACAAACAGTGGTTGAGAAAGATATCAGAGAGCAGCAAGTAGGTGTTTTGACGACCATAATAAAGCCTGACCAACTACCAACGTTTCATAGCCAGAGTGTCTCGCAGGGACCTCTGTGAAGGGAAGAGAGGATCAGACGAACAACATTCCTTGCAGCCCTCACAAACGGGAAGCTGAGGTGCCATCGCACGGTTGAAAATGTGGATGAAGACTTCCATTATAATGTATTTCTTTGTGTTTTTTAGTGTTTTTATTATAAATACAGAATGTAAAGGTGACGACATACAAGGTTGTGATAGTTGTATTAAGACTACAAAAACAGGTAGCCAGATATCCCAAACTCTTATTTGGCCCTCACATTATGAATGTAAAGGATCTGTGTCTAAATGCAGATACTTAGACAATGATTATAATGTGTGTCAGCCAGTGTCAGGTGAACCCAAGTGCTTTGATCCCCAATTCCAACCCTGTACAATCTGGCAGGTTCTTCGAAATACCTACTCTCAGGGGACATTGATAAGTAAAACTTTGTTAAGTACCACTTCTTCCTTAGGCATCCTACTATTCGATGCATGCAAAGCAATTTCTGGTTGTGGAAAACCTTGGAACATATGTGGTAATCTCCAGTGGGAACGAACCTATGGGTTTAATGATAAATATCTATGCCATAGTAGAAGATCTACTGACCCTGATTGTCCAAATAGGGACTTCAACTTTTGCCCATATTGGTCATGTGTAGGTTGGGCGACCTGGGCAAAAACAGTAGACCAAGATCTGATAATTCAGAGGTTACCTACTCCTCCTCATTGTAAATCAATGGAGTGTAATCCTGTACTCATGAATATAGCAATTTACTAATAAGTCTGGGAATCTTTTCGGTTTCAAAATAAATGGTACAGGGACAGACCCAGGAGCCATCCTATATATAGGCCTTGAAACCGAGACCATGAATGCCCAAACTCATCTGGTATTCCATTCCTTATGAGGAGATGAGTGTTGAAGATAAAGTTCCCCACACTGTTAAGAACCTGTTCATCGATCTGGCTGAGAGTATTGCAAGTAGTCTTAATATAACTAACTGCTTTGTATGTGGAGGTACAAATATGGGAGACCAATGGCCATGGGAAGCAAGAGAAGTATGGTACCCTGGTTCTGAGACAAATGAGCAACAGATGCCTTCCCACTCCAGTAATCAAGTAACCATACAGGAAAAAGTCGGAATGGCAATTGAAAACATCCATAAAGCGATCATGTATGCTTAGCTAGGGGAGGCCCAATGTATAACACACCTGTAGGCGAGTTGACTTGTCTAGGGCAGAAAGCATATAATGCTAGTAGCCATAATACTACATGGTGGTCAGCTTCAAATGTCTCAGAGCCTACCAATCCTTTTATTAATTACACCAATTTAAGAGCGGTATGGTTTGATCTATCAGCTACATCTAACTGGAGAACCCCAGAAAATGTATGCTGGATTTGTGGTAAGAAGGCATATTCAGAATTACCACAAGGTTGGGAGGGGGCATGTGTGCTAGGTATGCTCAAACCATCCTTCTTTTTTTTACCAATCCAAACAGGATAGACCTTGGGAGTTAAGGTCTATGTATATGATGTAAATCATAGGAAGAAGCGAGACCCATTAAATATAGGTAATTGGGAAGATGAATGGCCACCCAACAAATTATTAAAGGACCACTACCACCTCAGGGACCCCCTCCCACCCGGCTCTGGAAAGGGGAAAGGGGTTTAAACTTACCTTTTTCCAGCGCTGGGCGGAGAGCACTCCTCCTCCGTTCCGCTGCGTCGGCTGAATGCGCACGCGCGGCAAGAGCTGCACGCGCATTCAGCCGGTCGCATAGGAAAGCATTTAAAATGCTTTCCTATGGACGCTGGCGTGCTCTCATGGTGAAAATCACAGTGAGAAGCATGCACCGCCTCTAGTGGCTGTCAATGAAACAGCCACTAGAGGCTTTGGGGGAAGGCTTAACCCATTAATAAACATAGCAGTTTCTCTGAAACTGCTATGTTTATTAAAAATGGGTTAACCCTAGCTGGACCTGGCACCCAGACCACTTCATTAAGCTGAACTGGTCTGGGTGCCTAGAGTGGTCCTTTAATTACTATGGACCTGCTACCTGGGCTGAAGAAGGTACTTATGGTTACTAAACCCCCATATACATGCGCAACCGCATCACAAGATTGCAGGTGGTGGTTGAGATTATAACCAATGAGACAGCTGAAGTACTTAACCTCCTGGCAAATCAGAATACCCGTATGAGGTCAGCCATTTACCAAAATAGGCTGGCTCTTGACTATTTATTAGCAGTAGAAGGAGGTGTGTGCAGAAAGTTTAATCTTGGTAATTGCCATTTGCAAATAGATGATGAAGAGCAAGCTGTGGTTGACCTTACCAGCCACATGATTAAATTAACGTACGTACCTACTCAGATCTGGAACAGGTATAATCCAGGTAGTTGGTTTGGAAGCTGGTATGAACAGTTTGGAGGGATTAAAGCACTGGTAGGAAGAGTGGTATGTATTATTATCTTATGCCTCTTACTACCCTGCTTAATTTTTGATTAATAATTCGGTCCATACATAGTGTTATTGAGAGCACTATAGAAAGGAAGACAACAGTTCATGTAATGGCCCTCTGGAGATATGAACCTCTAGCCCAAAGAGAAATAATTTGTAATCAGATTGATGAGTTTTGAGAATTCATAAAATTCAGCTAGAATGCTCACATGGTCTCCCCTGTTTTGTAAATTGCCTGAGTGGTATTGGCAAACTATGGTAAGTGATGCATCTGGAGTACTTTGTATCAGAAGCATCAAAGGGGGGAATGTGATAGAATTTCATCTAGGCCCAAAATTTAGTAGGCCTAAAATCTCCATGTGGCATATACAAGTACAAGTATCTGTTAGTCAGTTACATATAGCTAAGATACTGTCATCAATGTACTGAGCATGTGCAAGAACTGAAACCACATTCCATTCTCCTAAAGGACCATGTTGCCTGTCCATATAAGGGAATCTTGTGTATCCTATTTGCTGATTGGTGTAAGGGTACAGATAGGGGATGCATAGCTTATAAAAAGCCTCTACTTCATGTGCTCAAAGCTCAGATCTTTTGAACAGGAGAATAAAGACCTTTAGTTCCTGAACTGACCTCTCTGTGCATGGCTTCTTCAGTGTTACCCTGTAACACAGGGACTATATAGTTGGTCTTCTGCAGGCAGAGGCCACAAGCCCACACATACTGGCCGGTACGTGTGTCCATACCTCCCCATCTCACGAAGAGGGGAGGGGCGTCGGGAGGATCCATAGCTACTGGCATGAGTCCTACTAAGCCCCCCCCTCAGAGGGGAAGGTAGTCCTAGGGCGGTGGTACGCTGGCTCTACACAAACCAATCTGTGTCATATAACACTACCGTGAGCCCACTTCTAAGGAGACAAACATATATGGGAAAATTTGATACTCCTGAGCACAGGAAAATTTGATACTCCTGATACTCCCTCCCCTGGTATTTCCTCATTTCTGCCCTTGCCCCTTCTTTCTCAATCACCTTGGGGTCCCACTGCCCACCCACTCAAATCCCTCCCCACATTCTCTAGAGAGTTTGCAACCGCAATGACAATGCTCGCATCACCAATATGAAGCATACGCGAAACATTAGCAGTGGAATTAGCGGGTCTGTTTCATAGCTGGACTCGGGGGTAGTGATGTCCCGAAAGGTTCGCCGGCGAATAGTTCCCGGTGAAAATAGCGTGTTCGCGTTCACCGCGGACGGCGAACATATGTGATGTTCAGTCCGCCCCCTATTAATTTACTAATACTAAGTAAAAATTACTTAGTATTAGTAAATTGTGCCCCTACTCGCAATACCGCGAGAAGGGGCATGTCTATTAAACAGTGAGCAGCCTGTGGCTGCTCACTGTTAAAAAAAAAAAAGGGTCCCCCCCCCGGTGGGGGCCCTAAATACTAATAGGGGGGGACCTATTGTCCCCCCCGGCCCCCACCCCTGAGCGGTGGGTGGGGTCCCTAAATACAAAGGGGGGGGACCCTAGTCACCCCTCCCCACCCCCCAAAAAAAATAGCTCCCTACCTACCCCCCTCACCCTAAAAATAATGAGGGGGGACCTTTAACTAAAAACCTGTAAAAAAAAAATTAGATAAAAATAACTTACCATTTGATGTTTTCTTTCTTCTACAATCTTCTTTTTTCAGCCCCAAAAAAGGCCAAATAAAAAGCCATAAGAACCGACGCAATAAAAAAAACAAAAAAAAAAACGAGCGCACAAAAAAATAATCCATCTTCACCCATGGAGGGCTCCACGCAGACTGAGCTCTGCAGGGCGGGGGAAGGCTTATAAAGCCTTGCCACGCCCTGCAATTAGGCTAAGAACACTCTGATTGGCTGGTTTAAGCCAATCAGAGTGCTCTTTGTCATTTTACACAGCGTGGGAAAATTCAAAAGAACTTTCCCACGCTGTGTAAAATGACAATAGGTCCCCCCCCTTATTGTTAATTTTAGGGCCCTCACCCACCGCTCAGGGGTGGGGGCCAGGGGGGGACAGTAGGTCCCCCCTTTATTGTTAATTTTAGGGCTCCCACCCACCGCTCAGGGGTGGGGGCCGGGGGGGACAGTAGGTCCCCCCCTTATTGTTATTTTTAGGGCCCCACACACCGCTCAGGGGTGGGGGCCGGGGGGAACACAATAGGTCCCCCCCTTATTGTTATTTTTAGGGCCCCCACCCACCGCTCAGGGGTGGGGGCCAGGGGGGGCAGTAGGTCCCTCCTTATTGTTAATTTTAGGGCGGTGGCTCAGGGGTGGGGGCCGGGGGGGACAATAGGTCCCCCTCTTATTGTTATTAGGGCCCCCACCCACCGCTCAGGGGTGGGGGTCGGGGGGGACAGTAGGTCCCCCCCTTATTGTTATTTTTAGGGCCCCCACCCGCCGCACAGGGGTGGCGGCCGGAGAGGGGGAGGACTGTAGGTCCCTCCCTCATTATCTTTATGGCCCCCACCCGCCAGAAAGAGTCCCTGTGGGTTTTAAAATTAGCCTTCCTATTGAAGTCTATGGCGGTTCGCCCAGTTCGCGAACATTTGCGGAAGTTCGCGAACCAAAAATTTCATGTTCGCGACATCACTACTCGGGGGGTGGAAATGCTCCTGTATGATTGGCAACAACAAATGGGCCGCCTGTTCACTTTAACACGCACCCATGATGAAAATGTATTCACACAATGCTAGGGGATTGAATACCTCTCACAAGTGCAGAATGTTGCTCAGAGATGACAGGCTCAGGTTGACATTCTCTGCATCCAGAAGACACACTGTCAAAACCAAAGTCCCAACATATGGTAACAAAGAGTATCCTCTACAATATCACGCAACACATACGTCAAAGGCAAGGGGAGTGTCAATTCTCATTCACAAATCCCAAACATATGAATTACTAAAATTTGTTACAGACAGCCAAGGTAGATATATCATCATAACGTGTAAAATTAACGACTCAATGTACACCATAGCAAACTTATATAACCCTAATATAAACCAGAGAAACTTCCTCCTAAAGTCTTAATGAAACTGAGCCCCCTCCAAACTGAACAGATGATCTCAATCACATTTTCAATCATGAAATAGACACCTCAGTGTCTCCGCAAACAACTAGGTGCAAAGTACTACAAACTCAATGCATATCTTTGGTCAAATTATTAGCAGAATTTAGCCTCTATGGTGCATGGAGGACACTTCATCCGGTAGAACGGGATTACACCCAAGTACATAAAACACACTCCAGAATCGACCATATACTGGTCTCTGCCCCAACCCTACACAAAACCTTAGACTGCCACATAGGAGATATTGTGTGGTCGGACCACGCGCCCATACTGCTGACCTTGACTGAACAATTCCCGACCAGGGGACGCGCTCCATGGCAGCTCAACGAATGACTACTCACTGATGATTTATTTAAACAGAGAGTGGATACAGAGCTGCAGGCGTACTTCACTACCAATGTCACTCCAGACACTATGGCACTCACACAATGGTTGGCCCATAAATCAGTAGTACGGGGGAACTTCATTAGCCAAGCCTCTCACAGCAAACGGGCATCCCAGGCCCAGCTCCTGCAGCTCCTGAGACAGTTGCGAGATGCAACTACTCAACATTATATTTCCCCCACACCT